CCAGTGCTTCCGAAGGTTGATGATGAACTTGAGAAACTCCACCATTTTTGCTTCGTATTCTTCGGGCATTCTTTGAGCAAGTCTGGTGCGAGTCCTCATGGACAGCTTCTCTCTCTCTTCACGAAGCGATAACACCAATTTTCTGTACCAGTAAAGTTTTCAACTTCTTTTTCGCTTGCTATTCTTTTGGCATGTTGGTTGCAATAACTGCACCAAGTTGTCGTTGCTCAACTATCCACGTCTTCAATTCCTTCTCTAAATGTGCCCACTTGGCAGACTTCCCTTTTTCATCCTTGGCATTTTCCAAAGCTTCTCTTCCTCCTTCCTCCTTCCTCCATCTGATGATTGTCCTCAGAACTGGTCGAGGTCCAAATTCCCGCTCAGCTGCATGACTAGCAAATTCTTTGGCAAACTTAATGACTTTTAACTTGAAGCTTCCAGTGCAGGCGTGTCTCTTCATTTGTTCAGCCATTTTGCAGTTTCAAAATGACACAGTAACCGATTGCTGTGTACAATGTTTGCAAGTCGCACGAAAACAAAAACAAAAGAGGCTTCGACGGAGCTGAAAAACCAGTTGATTTCTACTTTATTATTTTATGCATTTTTCATGGGCAAATACGGTACATGCTTCGAGGTTGACGTATGACTGAAACTAACCAAATCACTTTACAACTCACCAGACAGGTCAGACATAGAGTGTAGATACAGCTTTTAGGGTTAGCTTGAATTTGGTTGTGACGATGACACCTTGCTCTGATGAAGTTGGTCAATTGACGGACGAAAGCTCAGCACCTTTTCACCGGAATCGAACGAGGTTGCCTCGGAAACAGCGTCAGCAAGGCCAATCGACAGCTGGTGAAGAGGAATCCGCCGACCCGAGCTTCGAATCTCTTCACGCAACAATAACTTGTAGCAAATTGGAGCGGGCAAACCTCTGGTTTCCGACCAATCAGCGCCAACTGGCCGATACCCCCTACCGGTTCAGACAATCTCTGACCAATTGATGCCCCGAAGTTGGGTCGATTCCGCGTGGTACAGCTGGCCGTTGTCTTCAAGTGTGCGTCCTTTTGTCAGGCAGTCGGGCAAATCGTCTCGGAGTGGAGCGTCTTTGCTTCCGGCCAGTCTGCAACCAGTCGGCAGGCATCACTTCGCGACAGACACCGTCTCTGTTTGCAGGCTTGGCACGAAGAGAGAGATGGTGGTAGAGACGGAAGCAGTTCAGGACTAGTGAGCCACCGGTGCTGCTCCTCGAGGGCTGGTTGTGCCCAGGCGGACGAGGCGGTTGCTACCCGATGCTGTCATTGCTTTCACTTTTCGCCAGACATCTGCACTTCTGGCCGGAATTGTACATGATGCTGAAGAAGATGTTGAATGTGAGAATGAATGTCATTATTACTACTACAAGTATTGTAATAATAATTATTAATACTACAATTTTTATGGTGATTATTGTCAATATTATGATGATGTTTATTATTGAAGTTATAATGATGAGGACGATAATGATAATACGATTATGAAGCCAAGTATTGTTGTCATTTTTTTGATCATAATTATAATTATATTTATTTTATAAGATGACTTGCATTCGGCCTTGCCTTCCAAAGGTCGTTCTCATTCCGACTCGATTGCCCTTTCGACCTCGGCTATGTTTTATCAGCAGCTGCGAGGCGATTGAAAACCGGCTCAAGCGTGTCAAGTGGCAGGACGAGGCCACTTCGTCACTCACAATTCACACTTTGCTAATGGGATTGTATGTCGATGAGCCAAACATATACTTAACATTCAACTCGACCATACTGCAATATGCATTGTTAGTAGCTTTTGTGATATCGTGGACACTTGAAAAGCAAAAGTAACACAATGTGGGAAAGGATAATGTTTTGCATAATGTAATGAGTTGGCCTCACGAAGTAATGTTCTTTTAACTTGCCATGCTTTGTAAAAGGCTGAAAAATACATTCTAAATACAAGCCAGCCTCCTACAATTTTCCCGATACGCTTGTATGAAATAGGCCAGGTAGAAGTGGCCGTAAAAGCCACACCTTTTCTATCTGTGACCCAAACGTAAGTGTGCTTGTGGGCCAAAAATGACATCTCTGGATCGTTGTAGCTGCGGATTCGGTATTAGATCCAGTTTTAGGTTGGGATATGACTGAGACAAGTTTCAGACTAAGGTCGTGTGAAAATGAGATAGCTTTTCAGGGGGGAAAGCCGAATAAATTCATTATAATTTTGGGGTATATTCATCTGATTTGGGAAATTACAATCTCAATTCTTACCTTATCACAAAATAACTTGGGCGATTTAATAAAATAGATGAAGACCAAGATGTTGTGGCCTCCGTTATGGTCGCAGTCTGTTTCGATTTATAGAAGTGGGTTGACCTTGTTGTCGCAACTTGGTCTTGTTGTCAGGGCGACTTAGTAGAACGCATCTAGTCCGAAGTGGTCTGCCATATTAGTTGCCATGATTCCCACCATCTGACAGTGGACTTGACACATTCTCAGACGCTTCGCCGGCATCGTTGTCAGCATCATCAGGGCGTTTTGCCATTCAGCTCACTCGTCAAAGAATCAAGTGAAGCCAATCCCTCGAAAACAGTTACTCTATCACTTCTCTTTCTACCCTGGTCTATCTATCTACTCTTTACCCTCTTATCCCACTGGCGCCACATCACAACTTCTTTTTTGCTTACATTCCACTCGTCAAAATGTGTTCCCTTTTGTGGCAAATCTAGTGTTGCCCCATCACACTTGCTATTCACCCCGACTCCTCTCTTTCGATTGGCTGATCCGACTCGGACCTCCAATCCGGATCCCTTCATTGTTTCGTGGATCCGTTCCTTCTCTTTCTGGTTGACCGATTTCACTCGCTTCCAGTCCCAGTGTGCATTTCAATCAAGACGCTATTTCGCAAGGCCCTTGATCCAGGCATCTCCTTTTTGCTGGTCTTGCTCCATTCTTGTTTTCCCCGAGTTGGCAAAGTTGTCGCTAACTCTACCTTCCTCCAATCTGCTGTTCATTACATTTTTCTCCCAAACGATGTCGACGGCCTCCCTAATCTTTCGCTTCCTTCTGTTGTCGCCGTAGGAACCACTTCTTTCTGTTGCCTTCCAATTGATCTCGTGTCCAGTCTGTGCGATGAGTTCTGCTAGTTCTGATCTTTCGGTATCCATTTTCCTGCAGGGCCTCTGATGTTCCTTGATTCGTGTGCTCATTTTTCTCCCTGTTTCGCCAATCTATTTCTGATTTCCGGCGCCGCATGATATACAGTGAACTCGTGAACAATCCAATTTGTCTACTCTTTCATGTTGCGTTGGTAGACTTGTAAAAAGACAATATATCGAGAAGATGGAACATGTTCTACGAGACAGGACCACATATCGTATACTGAACAAGAACCCAACTATGAAAATCAATGGAATCTTAAGTGGTATGCTGAAAGATATGCACATGAATGGGGAGATTAACGCATTGACAATGAATTCAATCATAAGAAAGGATGCACGACCACCAACAGCAAACGGATTACCGAAGATATCCAAAGAAGGAGCAACACACAAATTAACAAAGTTTATGTATTTGAAAATCAAAAAATTAAATGAAAGGTGAAACATTTATATGAATTTTGTCAAAAAATCAAACGCATGAAACTTGGAGAAACAGACTTATTGGCAAGTTTCGATGTCGAATCCACGTATACAAACATGTCTGTCGGCCCTACTGGAAATCCTGGACCAAGAGGATGATATGCTGGAATCACAGCGGATCAGGAGGGAGTCGTTAACAAGACTAATCAACTTGACAATAAGCACCACCTATTTTACATTCAACGGGACCATCTATGAACAAATATTTCGACTTTCCATGGGATCACCGCTCTTCCCACTTTTGCCAAATGTATACATGAACAAGATAGAAGAGAGCTTCAAAACGGCACCGCTACAACCGACAGTGCTCATGCGGTACCTGAATGATTACTGCACACTTTGGTCACAGGAAAGAGAAAAACTGGAAGACTTTCTGAAGTTTGTAAGTCAGATTGACGGAAAAATTCAATTCACGATGGAAGTAGAAGAAGGTGAGTGGTTGCCGTTGCTGGACGTTGAAATGATTCGCTCAAAAAGAAATTGTACAGAAAGAAGTCCTATGCGGGGATAATACTCAATTTCCGGTCCCATTACAAGTACAGATTGAAGATTGGAATAATGAGGAGCATGATCATCCGAAGCCTACGCCTAACGGAAGTATAATTCTGGGACGAGGAGCTGGACAAATTGACTCGGATATTCCTCGGCAATGGCTACCCAATCGAAGTGATAAAAAGAAACATACGGACCGTGAAAAGCCGATGGCAGAACGGGGACTATGAAAGGACGAGGAAGGATTCACAAACGTGCCTACCTTCCAGCGAAATAACTCAAAAAATACGGAATATTCAGGTGGGTATGAAGGAGAAATCGACACTGTTCACAGGTTTACCAACGCAAAATGAAAGAGTAGACAAATTGGATTGTTCAGGAGTTGATTGTGTATCATGCGGCGCCTGCGATCAGAAATAAATTGGCGAAATAGGAAGAAAAATTGGCACACGAATCAAGGAAGATCAGAGGCTCTTCAGGAAAATGGATAACGAAAGATGAGAACTAGCGGAACTCATCGCACGGACTGGACACGAGATCAATTGGAAGTCAACAAAAGGAAGAGCCCCATACGTTGACAACACACGGAATCGTAAGATT